TTCAATAAACATTCAATAATTGAGATATTGTCACATTATTCCGTGTACAAATTTAGTGCAGACAACATTTTCTTGAAAGTGTATTTTATTCAGAGGTTAGCATACCTCTCTCGAGAGGGAAAAAAAAGACAAATGAAATTTTAGGGTGACAAAATTTTATCCCAGGTCATTTACTTTTTTATCGTAGGGTGAAAAAATTTGTCATATTTACTATTGCAGTTCTATTCAAATTTTAGATTATAAATAGATAAATAAAAGCCGTCTATATATAATCTTGTTATCTATTTATATGTAATCATTTGTTTTTCTTTTGTCCTTGTTATTTCTGTTATAACCTCATTTTTTTTCTCCAGAAGAAGATGATGAAGAGATTCCTGAAGAACTAGCAGTTTGCAAATTTTGCTTCAACAAATTTGTCGAAGAAAACGTTCTCAAGACAAAATGCAATTGCAAAACTGGTCTTGCCCATGACAAATGTGCATCTCACCACTTCAATGAGCTAGGAGATAACATGTGTGAAGTCTGCGACCAAGAGGTTGAAACAACACCAGTAACTTTGCTTCGACGCCCATTCTCTCCGAAGAAAAAGAAGCGAAAAAACAAGAAACATTGCTTCGGATTATGAATGAAAAGGTAATGTATTAATCTTTATCGATGAAAAATACAAAGATGGGGTAAAAAGGATGGTGGTGATGATCCAGTTTAGTTCCTGCTACTCTTTAGTGTTGGGAAGAAAAATAGTACATGCCTCACTTTAGCATAGCTCGTATGGCATAATTGCACTTAAAATTTAATACGTTATTAGTCACACACTTAAATATGAGTGGAAGTGTAATGTAATTTACAAGTTATGATTACTAGATATTGCTAAAAGCACAAAAAGGTGCTCATCTTGGCCCCTGTAATTGTGGGTGTGATGATGGACTAGATATAAAACTAATTTTCGAAAAATATTTGCACAAAACGGTGTCTAGGACCCACAACCATGTGATTGCTACCCCCAGACTTAGCAGTCGAAGTAGCAATGGCCCATTCAATCACAAGCATAATTGTTTTAATTTGACTCGGAGTTATAGTACTCTATAGTGGTCTAGAAATGATTTTTTTTAAAAAATACTTGTACATGATGGTTATTCCAAGTTACAAGTCTATGACTGTAGGCCTGCACTTTTATTACTCCAAGAGGCAATGAGAAATACAACCATAAGTATAATTTCTTATAGAAGATGATGTTGATGAAATAACTAGTTTATTGGATTAAAGCTATCCTTAAACACTACATAACTCACTCATTATTTTTGAACTCTTGGTTTTGTTGGGATTGAAGTGACGTAATAGCGGGATCCTCATACACTGAATCACCCTTTTAATTAAAAGCAATGCTATGCATACCAAAAGTGTTCACCAAAATGTGTACTAAATCTTCTATAGCCATCAGATCAGTAAGTTCCATCGTTGATCCAACAACGGTTGTAGATAATTTGGTGCACATAGTTTTATCGTTTAATTAAAATTTCATTTCAATTATATATTGCTTCTTAGTTTACTTCCATATTTTCTTTCTTGGATAATTCAGTTTCATTATATTTTGATAATAATTATTATTTTCTCCGCAGGCCGGTTCGTTAATATTCTTCTTGTAATTCCAAGTTATATGCTTTATCCTTGGAGCAGCTGCTGATGTGCCACAATAAGAAAGAGGTGAGTAGAATGGAGAGCTTACAATGGAGTGGAGGTAGAACTTGAACTAAGACATAATAAGTAGATTTGCTGTGGTTTTGTTGTTGGTTTTTTCGATATTTTCGTTGTATTAATTATTGTGACCTTACAAGGGAGCACTATAACTAAAAACATAAGTTGATATGCTGTCGTTTTTTATGTTATTTTTGTTGTACTAAGTTTTGTTTAATCTCCATTTAATTTTCTCAAAGATTGTGTGATGCAACCATTAGTGGTACTATTAGTCAATAAATTTCATTGTCATCTGTTGGTGAGCACAAAAAAATTTCCGACCCAAAATAAAATACTGGGATAATGTGATGCTAATAACCCTAATTGGTGGTATAATCTGAAAAAAAAAAAAAAATTATAGTTGAGGGGATAGTGTGAAATTAATAATCATAATTGTGAGTACAATATAAGAAATACAATAATTGAGGGGGCAATATGAAAAAGGAGACATTATTAGTGAGGTCAAAATATAATTTCACCAAAGGTAAATCACACTCACAATTAGGAGTGTCCATGGTTTGGCCGGGGAAATTTTTTCGGGTTGGGACTGAGTAGGGGAGGTCCAAGTCCTTATCTGGGAGTGTTATTGGGTGGACTAGGTCGGACTTCTGGTAGGTGTAGGTTATCCACAGCCTAACCCGCCACTCACTAGGAGAGCTAGTTGGCATGGGCCTATTGGGTGGTGGGCTTAATGGACGAGCTTTTTATATACTGCTTTATGTAAAAATAACAATTGTAATTTAATATTTTTATAAATTATATTTTTGAGTTAAAAGTAGAATCAAAATTGCCCAAAAGTAAATAATGAATAATTTTATTTATAAATAGGGGAGGAACTACATCACAATAGAATAAGCAAATCTCAACTAGGTTGACTTGTACACACCCATTTGTCTTTTTCAAGTTTCAAATTTCAAATTTGATGTGTATAACTTTGTTTTTAGAGGAAAGTGGGCTTGCTGTTCGAGCAGAGTTGGGCAGGCTGGGCTGGGCAGGGCAGGTGGGTTCTTGGGGCAAGGTTTTAAATGGCTTTTTGCGTGTGGCCTATTGGGTTGGATTTTGGGCCGGCTAATTAGTTTGGGGTAGGCCATAGCCCTCTCTTGAAGGATATTGAACTCAAGTTCTGGCCAACTGTCGGACTTATCAAATTATACTTTGATACCCCTAGCCATAATTCATTTCTTACATTGTCCTTTTAGTTACCATGCTTCTCACATCATATATTCAATTATGTTATGGGTTTCCCATTACTCTAATTATTTTCACGAAAAATTATTTAATTTTCTCCCTTAAGCAATGTGTTTTATTTGACTTTGCACTAGACATGTTGATAATTTCTGTCCAAAAGAAAATGGACATTTGTATTTGGTGTAGTGGAAAATCAACTAAAGTAGTTGAGAGGCTATGTAAAAATATAATAGTTCAAGGGGCACAATAAAATTGAGTCCATACGTATAAGGGGTCAAAGTGTAATTTTTTCAATTATAGTCTTCTGGACTTGATTTAGTCGTAGGATATCTCTGCTCCTGAATTGGGGAAGATTCCTGATCCGTGGCTTTTTCACTTGTACACTGCGAAAAGCCCACAAGTTTCTTAATATTATTTAGTTTAAATTTGATTCATTTCAATACTTAAATTTTTCGTTTGAATCATTGAATGGCACCAACAACTCACATCTATTTGGTGCACACTACATTTCTCCTCAATTAAAATGTCATACCAAAAACTGCTTTTATTTCCTTTCCTAGTGATTCAACTATATATATACCAAATGAGAAGCGGAAAGACATTTAATCAATCAGTGTCAAAAGATTGAATTGTACTTACTAAAATATAATTGTAAATTACAATAACTGAAAATAACTTACAACTAGTTTACTGAAAGAAAATCTCTTGCTGCATCTTATGAAAGTTGGATACAAGGAGAGATCAAAGAGAAGAGAGTAAAATTGGCTTTGAATCCCAAAGGGGTTCTACCTTGCTAAGGATGACTGAAGTTTTTATATAGGTGTAATGATTTTTGGAGAGGATCTTTGAAATGATTTCTTTTTTGACTTCTAGTGCTGCTTTAACCTAGGTAACTTGCTTTTATTTGGGTGATATGTTTTTCACTTTTGCTTTTCAGTGAAAAATTTGAAGTGAATCTCTTTTACTCTGGTGAATGCTGACTTTCTGGGCGTGCACATGATAGTTGTGCACTTGATGTCGATTGAAAATCTGTTTTTAGTGGAAAAGTTGATTGAGTGATTAACTAGTGGCTGCTTTTTCTAGCGGAAAGTAGCTCTGTTGCTGGATGATTCGACGTGCACATGACGGTTGTGCCCTTGTTGTCAACTAAAAATCTGCTTTCGATGGAGAAGTTGATTGAGTGATTAACTAGTGGCTGTAAAAGATAGCTTTTCTTTTTTTTTTTTTTCGTGAAGAAAGTAGTGATTGAAATTTTAACACATAGTGATGGGAATCATGGGCTGGAAAGATCATAAGCATCATTGGGGTTTTGGGCATCTTGGAAGGGATCCATAGATGGGTTGATTGATGCTTGTAATGATGCAAAAGAACTGATATTCTGCTAACTGGTTGCTTGCTAGAGTAGCTTATGGGCTAATTCAATTAACTTAGAAGGCTTTTGCTTCTTCTTCTTTTTGCTAGAATCCTTAGAAGAGGATTTAATTTGCTTTGTTGGAGATGCCTGAACTTCTGGTGAAGATACTCCGAGAGCTAGCATGACTTGCTTGACTGGTGGTGTACTAGTGGATGTTCCTGTAACCTTGATGGGAGTATGAACCTTGACTGAAAATTCTTTTTCTACTTGGGTAATAATACGACTCTGGTCAAATCTTGACCACCATTTGACATAGTATTGTCTGACTAATGTATTTGCTATAATACTATAATCCCACTTGAAAATCCAAGGGACTTTATATTTTATCATAAATAATAATAATAATGAAAACTGACTATCATCTTGACTAACCTTAAAATAGGATGAGAAATAGGCAACTTGATCTTGAAGATCCTGGGCAAGAATTTCAAGCTTGGGGCTATGAACCTGCCACCACTGTNTGAGAAATAGGCAACTTGATCTTGAAGATCCTGGGCAAGAATTTCAAGCTTAGGGCTATGAACCTGCCACCACTGTCAAAACCTAGAAGGAACTTGACTCTTGAAATCCTTGCTAAATTGTATGAACCAAGAATGAGCATAAGACTCATCTTGATAGAGGATCAGTTTAAACCAAGACTTTTTGTAGTCATAGTAACTAAACTATTTTCTATGCCTTGGAAGATCTCTGAGTAAAGAAGGGTAAGATCCCCATTTTTTGGGTGAGATGAACTTCTATATATATAAAGAATGATATATAAATTTTCTAGGATCATTCTTATCAGCAATGGGTTTGATAAAGATTGACTAGATGTGAAACAGGATATCCTGATAAAACTGGAAAGTCTTTTCAGGATCCAAAGGGATAAAGGTTCATCCTGGTTCAAGATAGACATTGACTAAGTCAATGAGATTGCTTAGGTGAGCATGGGTTGGATCAATAGCAAATATGTTATGGGCTATTGGCTTTTTAGCATATTCGATTTTTGGGGCTTGGTATGTTCACTTTGATGAATAGGGATTGGTTAATTGATTGGGCTTGGCTGAGGATTTGGGTACAACCATATATGGGCTAGAAGGTGACACTTGCTTAGCCATGTAAAGACGTATATGGTTGTGCCAGGGTTTACTAGGGATGATTGATATGTTGGCCTGCCAAGGTCGCCAAGAGGTTGGTAACAGTTTGTTATTTCGAGAGGTGGTAGTTGACTTGGCTTTGGGTTATGGTAATGCTAATTGTTTACCAATATCCTTCTCGGGCTTTTTGGATGAAGTACTGGGTTTGGTATTTTTCCTGTCTGCCATGAGGTTCCCACAGAAATTCTCAGGTTGAAAAACCAGGAATGTAATTATTACTACCCTTAATATATTCAATGTCAAAATAAAAAATACTTAAAATAAATTGTCATATGACAAAAATTTGCTTACTAGCAATATTTTGTACAACTTTTTTTCAAAACATATTTTGCTAANAAATACTTAAAATAAATTGTCATATGGCAAAAATTTGCTTACTAGCAATATTTTGTACAACTTTTTTTCAAAACATATTTTGCTGATTTACAATCGACTCTGACTAAAAATTTCTGATTTAATATATCATCCTAAAATTTCGAGATACATAGGACAATAGATAAAATCTCTTTTTTAATAGTACTATAGTTTCTTTGTTCTTTGTTCCAAATTCCAGAGTTGAAACAAAAAATATGCTCTAGNTTAATAGTACTATAGTTTCTTTGTTCTTTGTTCCAAATTCCAGAGTTGAAACAAAATATATGCTCTGCGGAGTCTGGATTGACTTTTTGGAGAATGATACCACCGTAGCCAATGTCGTAGGCATCGGTTTGAATGATTTTAAAAGAATTTGCTGAGAGAATACCAAGACAAGGCAAAGTATTGATATATTTCTTGACTTGTTGAACTATGGATGTATGAACACAATACCGTGGAGGAGGATTTCCTTTAAGTTTGTCATACAAAGGTTTGACTGTTTTTCGAAGATTCTGATAGAAGTCTGAAGCNGGAGGATTTCCTTTAAGTTTGTCATACAAAGGTTTGACTGTTTTTCGAAGATTCTGCTAGAAGTCTGAAACATAGTTTAAAGACCATAAGAATCTTTGTAACTGGGTTTTGTCTGTAATCTCATTAGGGAATTTATCTGCAAATTGGATAGATCTGCTGATGGGAACTACAGTTGACTGTTGGATATTATATCCAAGAAATCTGATTGAGGTTTGGAACAACTTAATTTTGTTAGAAGAGATGACTAGACTATTATGTCTAATTATCTCTAAGAAGGTGTTAATGTGTTTCCAGTGTTCTTCTATAGACTTGAAAAAAATGAGGATGTCATTTATGTAAACAATAGAGAAATGATTNAAGAAGGTGTTAATGTGTTTCCAGTGTTCTTCTATAGACTTGAAAAAAATGAGGATGTCATTTATGTAGACAATAGAGAAATAACTAACTGGGTTAAAAACTTCATTTATTATATTTTGAAATTCACTATGAGCATTTTTTAATCCAAATGACATTACATTCCATTCATAATGTCCAAGAGAGTAGTAAATGCAGTTTTATATCTGTCTTCTGGGGATATTTGAATTTGCCAGAAGCCNGTATCATCTACTTCAACAACATATCTAATATTGTCTTATAGTTCTTGACTAAGATATTTATCCCACCAGTTTTTAACATTCCTATNAATCAAAATTTGAAAATATTACTGAGTTGCTTAATCTTTTGACTAAATCTTGTTTGTTTAAAATTGAGTATCTGATTCATTCCAATACATAATTTAAAGGCTTGTAATTAATGACTAACCTTTGGTGCTCCTTTTTCTAACTCTGAATTTTTATGACATAGAAAGTTGGGCATGACCAATGAGATTTATTTTTCGTAATAATACCTAATGATACCATTTTCGAGTAATTTAGAATTTTTTTTTTACAAATTTTTATTATTTCATGATTCATTTGAATTAGNGAAGATTAGGAGGTATTGGTCTGGAACACCAATTTTTTGTGGTACTGGTTGGATTTACTTTTGAAAATGTTAACTTGTTAAGATTTTGACTACCAAATTGTTTTTCTAATTCTCTAATTTCAGAATTAGAAGATGTGAAATCCAGGAAAAAATTTAAACTTTTTCTGAAAAAGGGTAAAATGGTAATTTGACATTATAGTGCGGGTTAAAAAATGATATTTTTCTAAATCTCGGATGATGAAACGGACCTCACCGTTGAATTCTTCTCGCGAAATCTAGTTA